CAAAATCTATTGTCTTCTTACATTTGTCTATTCCATATTCCCTTTCCTATTCTTTCTTGCCTTTTGGATTAAAAAAAAAAATCATTTCATTTCCTCCCCTAATATTCTCTTATCATAGTTTGGAAGTTCTTCTAGTCTTCTAGTGGTTATCTTAAAATTTATAACATGCATTCTGATCAAAGTTTCATGTTACTTTTTAGTTTGCCCTCCTGCCAGACAATGGAAGTCAGGATCTCCTAACAGTTTAACTCTATGTAACCGATAAGCTATTATTATGGTGCCTTTTAATTTTGTCTCTATATCTTTTAAAATCCCACGTCATTATTGTTTTGCCCTACACATAAAACGTTCCTTTTGTTTAACTCAAATATTCACAACTTTCTTTGCTCTTCGTTCTTTGCTACACCTCTGAGCTTCTAACTGGGATTACTTGTCTTTTGCCTAAGGAATATTCTTTAGAATTTACTTTCCTTTCTTACATGTCCGCAGATGGTGAATCCTCTTTTTTTCCTCTTCTGAAAATATCTTCATTTTGTTTTAATCCTTGAAGGGGCTTTTCACTGTGTAATGAGCTCTAGCTTCACAAGTATTTTGTAGAAGCCACTCACACAGGTCACTCCATTGTCTTTTGGCATCTTGTTGCTGTTGAGAAGTCAGTTGGCCTGACAATTATTCCTTTGAAGGAAATCTGTTTGCTCTGGCTCAATTCACAGTCTTCTTTTTGTTGTTGTTTTCTGAAGCCTCACAAGGATGTTACTGGATGTAGATTTCTTTTTACTTATCCCATGTGGATTTCACTGAGCTTCCTGAATCTTGTGTAGTGATGTCATCTGTCAGTTCTCAGCCATGAGGCTTGTAAATATTGCCTCTGCTTTACTTACTCTCATCTTTCTCTGGGACCTCAATTAAATGTATATCAATTAACGGTATATATCTGTTTTGCTATATTTCCCCCCTTTTTTGGTCTCTGGATCCTTTCTTCTGGCCTATCTTCCAGTTTATTAATTTCCTTTGGTCTAATCTGTTATAAGCCTCATTCACTGAGTTCTTCATTTATTGTATTTTTCAATTGTAGAATTTAGTGTTACTTGGCTGAATTTTTCAAGCTTGGCTTTTATCCCATAAACATAATAAGCGTATTTGTTTCATAGCACTTCTCTGATATTTAGAGTTCCAGAGTTTTCTTTTTGTTGTATCTGCTACTTTTGGCTTGTGTTGGCTTGTCTCTTTATGTGCTTCATTATCTTTTATTTCTTAACTAGGGCTGTATTTGAAAATTTATTTGTAAAAGTAACTTGAGGAATAGGATAGTGTTATCTTGTACCAGAGAAGACTTCTGCTTGCTTCTGCCAGGCACTTGTGGGCACTGGGAGGCCAAAACAAAGGCTTGAAGTTTTCTAGATCACCTCAAGTTCAAACTATACCCACACTCCAAGGTACAGTCCTTTAAGGTTTCAGCCCAAAGTGGGAGGTGGCTCACTAGCATCCCATCCTTTACAGGTGCCAGACTCCAACTCTTGACCTCTCTCCATGAAAAGCACAGCTTTACCTCTAAGTCACTTCTTCCTGATTAGGAAGGCTCTGGCCCTTTTAGGTTTTTTTTTTTTTTCTTTTGCGGTACATGGGCCTCTCACTGTTGTGGCCTCTCCCGTTGCAGAGCACAGGCTCCGGACGCACAGGCTCAGGGGCCAGGGCTCACGGGCCTAGCCGCTCCGCGGCATGTGGGATCTTCCCGGACCGGGGCACGAACCCGTGTCCCCTCCATCGGCAGGCAGACTCTCAACCACTGCGCCACCAGGGAAGCCCTCTTTTAGGTTATTGTGTTGTTCATCCAGGTATAATTGCTGGAGTAGGTAATTCAAACATTTCCAAAGCCTTGAGTTTTTAACTCCTTTTTGATCGTTCTTTTGGCCAATCCTGTTTTTAAGCCCATTTTAACCTCTGCTGCCAAGTCATTCTTTTGTCTATATTTATAGTCCTAATAACTGTTATTAATAAAGTTAGAACATTGAAATGTTATATAAAAGTAATCAACTGCCAAATTCTCTGTCAAATACGATATTAAAAATGGCTTTGTTAGGGCTTCCCTGGTGGCGCAGTGGTTGGGAGTCTGCCTGCCGATGCAGGGGACACGGGGTCGTGTTCTACATGCCGCCGAGCGGCTGGGCCCGTGAGCTATGGCCGCTGAACCTGCGCAGCCGGAGCCTGTGCTCCGCAGTGGGAGAGGCCACAACGGTGAGAGGCCCGCGTACCGCAAAAAAAAAAAAAAGGCTTTGTTAAAATCAGCAGAGAAGTATTCTTTTCATGGTCTTTATGCTAGAGAAATACTGTTAGATGGAACAGACTGATTTTGAACATTATCAAGTTCTACAAGGGGATCATCAGTGATGGCAGAGTTTCTGTTGCAGATGCTAGATCTCAAGAGACAAGCATCGCGGAACTCTACACAACCACCCTGCTGGGGGGAAAAGGAGGAAAGTGCACTAAAAAAAGGACGAAAGTGCACTAGGATATTCACAGGCCCAAAATCTTTTTTAACAACAGTTATAATAACGTGCTTCCTTGATGCCAGCCTATGTGTGCTATAAATCTGTCCTAAAATCTTAGAGCCTGTTGTCAGTCATTCAGGGAGAGGCCCACAAGGAGAAAGACACAAGTAAAAAGGAAATTCATGCCAAATCACTATTTTACTCAACATAATTCTTTCATTAAAATGAATAAACTAAGGATTACCAGAAACTTCTGGAAAATAAACAGCACAAAGGAAGAAATATTTAAAAGAATCTTAATAACTCTCAGGAGAGATCTGAAAGGATGCTGCAAGCTTAAAAAAAAGTGGCTATTAAAAAGTTATTCTATGACAAGAAAAGGTATTGAGAGTAAAAAATAATATTTGAACCTACTGAGTTGATGATATGATATTAAGCAATTATTATTTATTTCCTTTGGTGTGATACCACTATTATGGTTATGTTTAATTTTTTAAAAATTATTTTTTTAGTGACACATACTGAAGCACTTATTAATGAAATTATATGATGTCTCTGATTTGCTTTAAAATAACCCAGTGAAGGTGGAGTGGGTGGGAGTATAGATTAAATAACACTGGTTACACGGGCTTCCCTGGTGGTGCAGTGGTTGAGAGTCCGCCTGCCGATGCAGAGAACACGGGTTCGTGCCCAGGTCTGGGGGGATCCCACATGCCGCAGAGCTGCTGGGCCCGTGGGCCACGGCCGCTGAGCCTGCGTGTCCAGAGCCTGTGCTCCGCAGCGGGAGAGGTCACAACAGTGAGAGGCCCGTGTACCACAAAAACAAAAACAAAAATAAAAACAAACAAAAAAAGACTGTTGAAACAAAACATACACTAGAAATGCTAAAAAAAAAAAGGAAAAGGGAAACCAAAACAGATACAGATAAATGAACAAACACCACAGAAATTCCCCATATTATAGAACTAAAAAGGTAAGAGGCGAAAATATGAATAAAAGTTACAAGTCAGGGCAACAGAGGGATTTGACCATGGTCTAACACAAGTTCCATAAGGAAAAAACAGAAATAATGAAAGGAAAGAAATGAAGGGGGGGAAAGACAGAACAAAAAAATCATTTGGAAAAGAAAATATAGTGAATTGGCCCACCTGCAGACATGCATTATAGATGGAAATAAAGCCCAAACCTGGATGCATCCCACTAATATTTCAGAAATCTAAAGATAAAGAAAACACTGAAACATTTTTAGGGAGACAAAGCTAGTAGGTATAAAGGAATGAGAATCTCATTGACACCAGATTTCTCATCAGCAACCCTGGCCACTGAAAGTGATGGAGAAATGTTTCCAAAGATCTGACAAAAATGACTTTGAATCTACAAATCTCTACCCAACCAAACCGTCAAGCGAGAGAACAAAATAAAGACATTTTCAGATACATAAAAACTCAGTTTTCATCCATGCTTCATAAAAAAACTTATTCAAAGATGTATTCCAGAAAAATGAGACCAACACAAAGAGCAAGAGTGTACATGGGCAAGAGAGAAGCACCACAGAAATGATTTGCTGTGGGGCAGGATCAGGATGAAATGAAGGAAGCTGGCAAGAAATTAGAGGAGGATTCATTATACTTGACACTTAAAAGACTTTGAGTGTCAAAATTTTTGTTGATCTAGAATTGCAGGTTCTACTGTATTTATCAAACCACACTCTTGTTTAGACATGAGTAACATATAATCATGTAATTTCAGAATCAATCCAGAGACAAAACATGGAAAACAACAGAACACAATGTAAGTTTCAAAAATTTCTCTGCAATGTAGAAATACCAACCATAGTTGAGAGATAAAATAAGAAGAGATAAGAAAGCTAAATACCAGATTTTTTTTTTCATTTTTCACTGTGGCAAGCTAATAAAAACTGTCTTAAATTGCTTACAAAAGCTCTTTATTATATAGAGATAAAGGTAACTACCAGGAAAGCTAAAAGTAATAACAGAAATTGAGAGGGAGAGAGAGAAAGCAAGGTATTAGGAGGTATTAGGTATTATGTGTGGACTATTACTTAGATTTCACAGTTGGAAGTTCACACATACAGTCTAGAGTTGGAAGAATCAAGATAAGGGAGAAGTGTGCCAGTCATGATGGTAACCATCAGAAAAACTCAAAAGGAAACCACAGTGGTTATAGCTGATAAGTATGATAAGGAGGTACCAAGGGGAGATAAAGAGGTTAAATAATTTTTTAACATTCTGTTCCTTTTGCATTTTTATGAACCATGTACTACTTTATTTCTATAACAAAAACAAACTTAATGAATGGTATGAATAAATAAATTTTCAGGGGAAATAGAGCAAGTTGGATTTGCTGAATTCCTTGAGTTTTCCTGTACATTCATAGCAAAATCCTGTAAATACCACTGTTTTTTAAATCTTAAATTCTAAAGAATTTCGTAAGGAATTTTAATGTAATTATTAATGATTACTCTATAACATAAATAATGGTGGCATTTACCTGGAAAAATATATACATTGTTTCCTTGACCTGGTGTAAAGACTTGCCCATCACTGAGTTTCACTGGCTCAAATGGACTGCCACTGGCAAACAAACACCTTCCCTGTTGAGAAATGAAATAACCTCAATTTTGTTACTTTATGTGGACTAGAAAATTGAGGTGAATTAAAACAAAATTAAACCCTGTAGTAGACCAATATACTACTTGCAAAACAGGCATAATTTACTATATAACATAATCCTCTCATTCAAATCCTTATTAGAATAAGGTTTGTTTTATGCATAGCAAGCATTCAAAGTTGAAAAAGTCCATTAATAAATTCCTTAAAACCTGACTCTTCCATTTCCTTTAAAACTTAACAAATGTAGACAGCAAAAAAATATCATCCCTAATAATAAAGACTGCTATAAACATCTGTGAATGTGGGGAAAACATCAAAAATTAAACTGCTACCATTTACTGTAAATCTGCTGTTTCTGGCTCTGTACCAGGTGCTTTATATGTGTAAACTCAGTTAATTCAGCCCACACAGAAGGCTTATGAGATTATCATCTCCTTTTCACTAATATATATTTTTTAAAAATCTCAGAAAGCAAAGGCTTAAATATTTCCAAGTACTTTGTAAAAAGTCACACATCACAACTGTAGCAGTTAAACTTAAATCCAGATTTTTATAACTCTAAAACCCATGGTTTTCTATTATGCTACAATGTCCCCCAGATAGGCAGTTTATAGAACAGGCATATGGTATAACCACAGTCACTCCAGAAGAACATGGCATGTTGTCTTGTTAAAGAAAAGGAAGTCTCCAAATTTGCTGTATCCACCAATTTTAGTACTGTGCTCTATAATAGCATATAATACATTTTACTAGCACCTTCAGTATTTCTAAGAGAATTTGGTGCCCATGGAATTGAAAAGTACCTGAAGGTTAATTTATTTTCCCCCACAAATTCCATCTGTCGCACCCCTACCTGACCAAAAAAAAAAAGGCAAGAAAACAATAGTTTTCAAACAGGATAACTTATCTTGGAATACTTGAGGTATAACTAAAGGAAGTCATGTTTAAACAGCTACTTAGATGAAGTTAAAAGGTGATTCACAGAAAGCTGAACTATCTCCACACAGTAGGATGCACAAAATGACATGACACCTAAACATTTGACAGAGTTATTTTAAGTGTTTGGATAATGCTTTATCTTTTCCCTACATCTACAGATGTGTATTATAGCAAGAGTGATTATTCTTTGAAATATAGTAGACCCTTGGCATTAGTGGATTTAGCACTCAAGAATTTGACCCTTTGGACAACTGAAGATCTACCATGTGTAGTAATTATTACTTTTACAAGACATACTTTCAATTTTAAAATCATCTCAGGTTTATGTGTAGAAGCAAGTCAACTGTGCCAGCGGTGGGCCCAGGTGAGTGTCTTGGACCTACAACTCCTGAAAGCTATAGAATTTTCTACAGATAGTTATTACCATTCTCTACCTGTTCTAAGCCTAGCTTTATTTGTGACAAAAATTTTGTTTCTTTGAAGATCATGGTTAATGCCATACGAGTTACCACAATGTATATAATAATATAGATTATTTTTGTGCCACCATTAATTTTAATAGATTTATAAAGTGGATTATACAATATAGCTCTTTATGGGGAAAATGTTATATACTCATGATATCAGTAAATTTGGAGATTTAGAAAGATCTTGGGCATCTTCTCTAGAATGGCAAGATTCAACAGCAGTTCATCTTCTCCAGGCCATTTTTTTTTTAACATCTTTATTGGAGTATAATTGCTTTACAATGTTGTATTAGTTTCTGCTGTATAACAAAGTGAATCAGCTATATGTATGTATACGTATATCCCCATATCCTCCCCGTCTTGTGTCCTCCTCCCTAATCCACCCCTCTAGGTGGTCACAACAGGCCATCTTTTTTTTTTTTTTTTTAATTATTCTTCTTTCATAATCAACCTATAGCTTAAATGTGGCAAGACCTTAATGATAACAGTATTCTCATTCTGAAGTCCAGGTTAGCCTATTCTTTGTTCTTTGAGCAACTGGCCATTAAAATATGAAAACACTTTTTTTTAAACGCACCTTTCTCCCTAAGCAGCAGAGGGTGTTAGACTAGCACTGAGACATCCCTCCACCAAAAACAACAAAAGGACACTTAAAATTTTAGCAGTAACTACAAATACATACATTTATGCCATTATTTTATGTAACACTAAGAAAAAACTTATGTAAAATTAAACTGTGACACAATGCTTTTTTACCATTTTTAAGAGATAACACAATTTCAAAGTTATAAAAATTGTGAGAAAATTTGCATCTCAGAACTGATACAGTATGTCAAACTGGTTTCCTTGAGGAATTTTTATTCATTCAAATGGTGTACATCTATTACAATAACATTTATTCAAAAAATAAAATTCTTAAATGTTTGAAGTCTTCTACTGATATACTACTACTGCCCAAAACATTTAAATTTTTTATATTTTGGAAATGCCAAGACCCGTAATACTGGAGTATATTTATCAACTAGTCTTTGTGTAAGACTAAGATTTAATTTGGGGGGCAATAACCATTCGTTTTGAGTAGTAAAGATAGGTGAAGATGATGAGCAATCAAGCTAATAGCAACACCACTCTTTGGTAAAGAAGTAAGACAGTATACTAAAGAGACTGATTTTTTTTTTTAATATATCTGTATGCTGACTTTGTGGATGAGTTCAAAAGAAAAGATTTCAATAATTATTAGTTTCAGTAATTATTATAACTGTTGGAAGCCACTAGTCAAGCAAATTTATTTTGACTAACACAAAGTGGCAATATAGAAACAAAAGGAATTTTGAGAGAATATATGTGTCAAAATAAAATTTATAACAATGAGAAAAAAACAATGCTAAATATATCAAGAGCATGAATATTAAGTTCAGAAAGTTCTGAGAGTTCTACTTTGGCAATAGTCTTCTAGGTTCTTTCACACCAATTCTCCCTCTGGTAACAATGAGAAAAACTGGATAAAATATATTAAAAATATGTTTTAAGGAAGTGGGAGTGCTACCAAGATAGGGAGAGCTTGGAGGTGGAGACAGTCAATATCCAAAAAAAGAGGAAAGCAAGGTATTCGGGCCCAGCATTTGAAGCTTTCCTCCTTCAGGTGAGTGATTTCAAAAGGAAAATCTGTGGCTGAGTGCCTGAGCACTGAAGTTATCAGGAGTCTCGTGATGACAGAGAGAGAAAAAGTATACTTCAGAGACCACTACGGGTGAGGGGTGCTGATAAATACCCCAGGGTTGGGCTTCCCTGGTGGCGCAGCGGTTGAGAGTCTGCCTGCCGATGCAGGGGACACTGGTTCGTGCCCCAGTCCGGGAAGATCCCACACGCCACGGAGTGGCTGCGCCCGTAAGCCATGGCCGCTGGGCCTGCGCGTCCGGAGCCTGTGCTCCGCAACGGGAGAGGCCACAACAGTGAGAGGCCTGCGTACCACAAAAAAAAAAAAAAAAATACCCCAAGGTTTTTGATTCATACCCAAGAGAAAACGTAAACTGTGGAAACAGATGAGGCCTTCCATGGACCACACCCTGCTGAATTACATTGAGCTGCCCCAGACTAACAGCCTCCAAAAGGAAAGGCAAAGCTTCTATGGAGGAAGCTAATTTCATTCCAAGCCTCAAATTATTGCTACTATCCTTCATCCACATTACCTAGCACTCAATAAGGAAGTGAAAGACAGAAGTAAAACTAGGTTTACAAAAAGACAAGAACTGGATAACCAAGAAGAAAGACAGATAATAGAAATGGACTCACAGAGAGTGAGATATTTGTTACTATCAGACATTAACCTTAATTATGATTCACATATTCAAGAAATTAAATGACAAGACAAAATTTTAGCAGAGAACTGAAAGCTATACAAAAGAATCAAATAAGTAATTAAAAATATTGTTAAAATTGTGAGGTGTGATAATACTGTGATTATATTTTTAAAAGAATCCTTAACTTTTGAGAGATATACTATAATATTTATAATAAAATGATATGTCTGAGACTAGCTTCAAAATCTAAGGTGAGTAGGATGTAGAAGAAACAAGATTGGCAATAAGTTGATCACTTTTGAAGCAGGGTATTGGTACATGGGAGTTAATTATACTGTTCTTTCTACTTTTGTATATGCTTGAAATTTTCCATAATAAAATACTTTTAATAGAGACAAAAACATTTATAAAATTTATTAATTTTTCTCAAGGGTATGACCTAACAATTACTACTCCTATATATCACTGTAAACAAGGCTTTAAAAATCACTTCCTAAACAACAAAGATTTACTGTATAGCACAGGGAACTATATTCAACATCTTGTAATAACCTATAATGGAAACAAATACAAAAAAATGAAAAAGTATATAACTGAATCACTTTGCTATATACCTGAAACTAACACAACACTGTAACCAACTTAAAAGAAAAAAAATCACTTCCTAGAGTCACTTAAAGATCACTTGCAAGAACAATACAGAAAGTGATTACATTGTGGAGATTACAAATATATCTCTATAGAACAGTAAGGGAAAAAGAATTGTCCTAACGGTATACAAGCAGATACTTTTAACTAGGATATAACCCAGTGGCAGTGTCAAAGAATTCAAAAGAGCTAAATTTTAAACAATTTAGATGAAAGTAAAAATTTGTTCCAGAGAGCTGTCACATGACTGAAAAGAATGGCCCTATGATGGTGAAGATACATGTGAAGAGGGTAAAAACAATTATTTCATGACATGTGAGGGCAAGAAAGTAGTATTTATAAATTGATTATTTCTATAATATGTGATTTTAAGTCTGTGATGCTAAATTAATGAATTATGGAAAGAATGAAATAAAATTCCACAAGTGAAAAATACAATAAAATTAAGAACCTAACAACAGATTTAGCACAGCTGAAAAGAGAATATGCAAACTGGAAGATAAGTCCAAAGAAAATCACAGGATTGAAACACAGAGAACAAACAGGATGGTATACATAGAAAATAGTGTAAGAGACATATTAGATATGGTGAAAAAGTCTTGACATTCACATAACTGGAGTCCTACAAGAGAAGAGACAGAATGTGTCCAAAAAGACATTAAGTCACAGATTCAGGAGCTCTACAGTCCTCAGGTGGAATAAATAAAAAGAAAACCACACCTAAGTCCATAGTAGAAAAACTGCTTAAAACCGAAGACAAAATGTTCTATAAAAAGAAAACAGAAGTCAGAAAACAAAAGAATGATACATTCAAAGTTCTGAAATAAAGTATCTACCAACTCTGACTTATATGCAGAGTGAAACAATACCCTTCAAAATGAAGGCAAAATAAAGAAATTACCGAGAGAATTCATCAGACCCACACTTAAAGTAAGTTCTTCTGGTAGAAGAAATAATCCTAGATAGAAGCACAGGTATGCATGAAGGACACAATGGCAATAGAAAATATTAAAATGTAGGTAAATCTAAATGAATAATTTTTGTTTAAAACAAAAAGAATGTCTTTGGGGTTTTAAAATATAGAGAGAATTAAAATGCACAACAATAGCACAAAAGGCCTGAGGGTGTTAAAATGGATATATAAAGTAACTGCTTTCCAGAATTGATACAAGCAATAAGTTACATCAGAATTTGATGATCCATGGATACATGCTGTAATCCCTAGCGCAACCATAAAAAGAATTATTCAGGAATGTATAACTAATAGGCTAATAGAGGGAAAATAATAGACATAACCAATTCATACTATTATTAATACCTCTGTAAGCGTATATGCTTCTTCAGCTGTGCACTCAGCTTGTGCTGTAGGATTACTTAATGCAAATATTACAGGCCTTTCATTGATATCAGCCATGGCTTTGATTACACCAGGAGTGAAAAGTCGGCCAGCTCCTGCAACTCCTGTAATAAAATAAGGGGGGAAAAAAAGGAACTTCATTACAGGTAAAACATAGCCTTCTCATCAATAGCATATCTATAATAACACAACAAAAGCACAGGTAAAGATAAGACCTATGCTTATCCCATTACAAAGATAAGATTTTGCATTGCTGAGATAATTCAAATCTTAAATCTGAAAAGAGAAACAATAAAATGTTAAAAATTTTCACTTAAATATTTATTGTCTACCCCAGATATAGTAAATTGTGGGCAGTAAAAAAAAGAGTATAAGACTACCTCCATCATGTAGTTGTTGTCTAACACAGGGGTTCCCCAACCCCAGGGCCACGGACTGGTACCAGCCTGTGGCCTGTTAGGAACTGGGCTGCACATCAGGAGGTCAGTGGCAGGTGAGGGAGTGAAGCTTCATCTGCATTTACAGCCGCTCCCCGTTGCTCGCATTACCACCTGAGCTTTGCCTCCTGTCAGCATTACGGTGAGCTGTATAATTATTTCATTGTATATTACAATGTAATATAATAAAGTGCACAATAAATGTAATATGCTTGAATCATCCCAAAACCATCCCCCTCCCTGGTCTGTGGAAAAATTATCTTCCATGAAACCGGTTCCTAGTGCTAAAAAGGTTGGGGACCACTGGTCTAACAGGCATAGAGCTTCAGTTTTACAAGGTAAAAAGAGTTCTGGAGATTGGTTGCACAACAATGTGAATGCACTTAACACTACCTCACTGTACACTTATAAATGGTTATGGCAAATTTTATGTTATGTGTATTTTACCACAAATAAAAAAATTGTTTTAATTAAAAACTTGCACCTCAAATGTTAACTTGTTAAACTCTGTGGTATTCATTATAAAATAATAGGAGTTCAGAAGTGATAAAAGATCTTGACTAAAGCAATCCACTTTCTTTCTTTTTTTTTTTTTTTTTGCGGTACGCGGGCCTCTCATTGTTGTGGCCTCTCCCGTTGTGGAGCACAGGCTCCAGACGCGCAGGCTCAGCAGCCATGGCTCACGGGCCCAGCCGCTCCGCGGCATGTGGGATCTTCTCGGACCGGGGCACAAACCCGTGTCCCCTGCATCGGCAGGCGGACTCTCAACCACTGCGCCACCAGGGAAGCCCCACAATCCACTTGACAGAGTTCAGTTTAATGACCTTTTAATAAGCCCCTACAATGTCTGAGACACTGTATTAGGCCATTAGGATATAAAAATGAGCATAAGGCAGGCAGCTTATAGTTGAGAGAAAAAACAACAGAGTAAACAGAAGATCAGAAAACCTGTAACAGGTGCTAAGCATGCAGTGCATAGAAGCACAGCATGAAGGAAGAATACTTAGCCCATGGTGGGAATCTGGGGATGACCAAGCAATGCCTCGGCTGAGTGCTTACACAGTTCATCAAATAAGGCTTACATTCAACAGTCAAAGAAATTTTAAATTCCATTTTATAAACTGATATGTAATAGAGAAAAATACTGATCTGGAGACCAAAGTTTTAGTGCTTGCTCGGTCACGACTGGCTATATGAAATATTCACAAATCTTGGGCAAGTTGCTTAACGTCTCTGTGCTTGTTTTTCTCATGTAAAAAAGGAACTTCTACTCAGTGTTTCCCCATGTAGAGGTATGTGGACATAGTCTTGGGAATCCATGAGTTCTAAAAGAATTAAACATGTTTTTCTTTTTGTTTCCTTGACCCTCCAGGGACTGAGTCAATGGACAGATTCTTAGGTTTCCATACTGAGTTTTGAGAGAGACACACTTGCAATCTTTAAGATTACTTCTCACTCTAGAAAATTATGAGTTCTAATCAGTGAAGAAGCTAATACAGACATCCTTTTCCTAAACACAAAGACTGTCTGAGACTTAAAACAGTAAGTTTACTATTTAACATTTCAGAGCTCCTCCAAGAAACTGGCAAAATTACAAGAAAAATTATAGCTTCAAATCTTACAGCTATATAGGAAATGAAATAGTCCCTCTTTTAAAGACTTTTACATTTTCTGCTCTGAATTTAATGCCATGTTGCATAGTCTGATGTCAGCTATGCAACGCCTGACTCTTAAAACATACCAAAGGCTTACAGCTTTGTTGCCAGTGAACATCTTTAACTCTGCATAGGATTTTCTTGGTCTGTCAAATAACCTTGGTCTTTTTCAGGTTTTGAGCCCACCAGTCATACCAACTCTAAAAGCAAAGCATGATCAATCACACAGCTTCTAGAAGTTAAAAGTACAAGCAACACCCATTAACAGAACTTTACACACTGTATCTAAAAGCTACCACCTACAACACAGGGAACATAGCCAGTATTTTATAATAACCATAAATAGAGTATAACCTTAAAAAATTGTGAATCACTACATTTACACCTGTCACTTATATGATATTGCACATCAGATATACTTCAATTTAAATAAAGCTATCATAGAAAACATTATATATGCTGAAAGCTAGGTAAAATCTGTCATTTCATTTTGAGTAATCCTGCATGGAAGTTATGATTGGCATTACACACGTAAGTAACAGAATGACTTGACAACAACTTTACTTACCAATTATAGCTGAAGGCTTAAGTATATTTACTGCATCTTCAAAAGTATCAGGTACGCTCTCTGGGGCTAAGTGAGCAAATGGTTCCTGGTGACTGTCTATTGTAGCTTTCCGCCCCTGAATTTTTAGATAAAATACAGTTTTTTAGTAATTGCTTATTAAGGATTAATTGAAAAGACATCATTATAAGTCACATATTGTTTCTACAATAAGAATATCTTTTCATCTTCATGTACCTTTCTTTTTTTTTTTTTTTTTTTTGGTCCGGGG